GAATGTACAGCGCTCTCTCCCACCTTCAATACCACGACTGAGGTGCCCTTGAGCAAGGCACCGAACCCTCAACTGCTCCCCGGGCGCCGCGGCAAAAAATGGCTGCCCCCTGCTCCGGGTGTGTGTTCACTGCTGTGTGTGTGTGTGCACTTAGGATGGGATAAATGCAGAGCACTAATTCTGAGTATGGGTCACCATACCTGGCCACATGTCACTTCACTTCACTTTATTACTGATGTATTATATGTGACCCTGGAGCACAAAACCAGTCTTAAGTCGCTGGGGTATATTTGTAGCAATAGCCAAAAATACATTGTATGGGTCAAAATTATTGATTTTTCTTTTATGCCAAAAATCATTAGGACATTAAGTAAAGATCCATTAAGTAAGAATATATTTTGTAAATTTCCTACTGTAAATATATAAAAACGTACTTTTTGATTAGTAATATGCATTGCTAAGAACTTCATTTGGACAACTTTAAAGGCGATTTTCTCAATATTTCGATTTTTTTTTGCACCCTCAGATTCCAAATTTTCAAATAGTTGTATCTCGGCCAAATATTGTCATATCCTAACAAACCATACATCAATGGAAATCTTATTTCCATATGAGGTTTTGTGGTCCAGGATAAAGAATAAAATGTGAAAATATCTTACGTTTCTGTTAACCTTCATCATATGTTAGGTTTGTATCTTTTAGAGAACCCCACAATTGTTTTTTAAGGATCTAAATCTATTGGATAAGTGAAAATTGAGGGCAAAAGACTTGAAACTAACCAATCCAAACAAGTGTTTGGAGGTTTTATCTGGACCTTTCGTTTACTGTGGGCAGACCATTTTTTGATTTTATGTGGAAGTTTTAATGGATGGGTTTATATTGGCTGCAGTGTGCTGTAATCCTCTAGATCAGTGATGGGCAAACTTGGCCCTTCCAGGCCACTTTCCTGCAGAGATTTGATCAGACTCTGATAAACCTGCTTGTAGCCTTCTAGTAGTCTTGAAGATAATGATTAGCTGGATCAGGTGTGTTTGATTAGGGTTGGAGCTAAACTCTGAAGGAAACTGGCCTGGAAGGGTCAAGTTTGCCCACCCCTGCTCTAGATGGAAGCATTTAATCAAACTGGCCAAAATGCTGGATACAAGAACACAACAAGAATGTGTAGAACCTAGTGAATTATGGACGTTCATCTGTGGAGAAAAAAAGAAATGACGTGGATACCATGTCAAACCCCCCAAAACCTCTCTAACTGAAAAGCCTTTTTGCTTCATTGTTCAATGGCTTTGTTTTGCACAAAAAGTAAAGGAGCTTCAGTCAGACATATTTAGAGCTCTGCATAACACCAATGGGTGGCACAAAACAAACTATTACTTCAAAATCAACCATGTGAATCACTAAACTTAAAGGTATAGTCTCCCAAAAATGAAAATTCTGTCACCAGTGTTGGGGAACGTTACTTTTGAAAGTAATGCATTACAATATTGCGTTACTCCCTAAAAAAACTCCCTACTTTTTATCATCTAGGCAAGGCAAGTTTATTTATATAGCACATTTCGTACACAATGGTAATTCAAAGTGCTTTACATAAAAGAAAGTAAAATAATCATTAAAAAAAATCACAAAAATAAAACAAGGAATTAAAAAACTTTGAAAATGATTTAAAATAAATTTAAGACCGTTAAAAATAGAAAATGATTATGCATACATAAAATACAGTGCAATCAGTTCGGACATCGCACAGTGCTCATTCAATAAAGGCTGGGCTTGCTTGTTTGTTTATTTTTAATATAAAAAAGTTATATATGGTACTTTCATACCACAAGTGAAACGAATAAGCCTCAGGTTGAAGGAAATGTAAATGCATGTCTGTATAGCAGAGGGCACAGCTCAAACAGACCTTTCAATAAGATGGAGAAGAAATTCAGCAATTAACAAAAAAAAAAAGTACTAAAAAATTAAACCAATGTTGTTTATCTAAAGTCATTTTTGCTTATTAGTATTGGAATTGGATCATCGAAGGTCAGCAGCAAAGACATTGGTAAATAAAATGGGATTAAATACATAAAGGATATTTGTGGTATTTAACATATCTAACTATTGCAGGTTTGCGTCATATTCTGAGTTTGCTTTTCACTGTTTTTATTCACTTTGAGGAATACTGAACCTGTTTTTGTGTGAGTGAGATGAACTACAGTAACATCACGGTCACACATCACCTCCGCACTACTCGCGATTTCAACATGGGGACAGGAGAGCTGCCAGTCAATAAATTGGAAAAACTGGCCTTACTTTTTTTTTTTTTTAATTTACCGAAATTTTCTTCTAAATTCAAAAGCAATGTGTTACTTTACTAGTTACTTGAAAAAAGTAATCTGATTACATAACTCGCATTACTTGTAATGCGTTACCGTCAACACTATCTGTCACTTATCTGTATGATCTGTATGACTTACTTTCTTCTGTGGAACACTAAAGAAGATATTTTGAGAATTTTTTGGAGGTCATTGTTTACCAAAAACTGTTTGGCTACCAAAATTCTTCGAAATATCTTCTTTTCACAGAAGAAAAAATGCATGCAGGTTTGGAATGACCTGAATTTTTATTTTTGGATGCACTATTCCTTTTATTTATTCAATGGTTGGCAATTGGGAGTCATTTCTGCATAGAATGCCTCTTCAAAATACAAGATAAATCATTAACATAACTATTTTTAGAGTTTTATTGCTTTGACATAAGCCACACAGGAGAATAATTCAGTAAATGAGACCATTAGGAATGCTTCCAAGCACTGTTTGTGGGTTCGGATGGTTGTTGGTGGTCTGATGTTGCCTGCAGAGATTTGCACCGACGTTATAGCTGGTTGGCAAAAGTTTGGAGCTATTTTCCTGCGGCAGGGATGGGCAAGGGGGGGTTGTGTGGGAAGTCACTCATTAGCGCGAGTATTTAGGCTGACGTCATGGCCAATCATTAAGTGGGTGCAGGAGCCAGAGGACCTACTGATGGATCGATGGCCAATTAAACTCTCATCTCTCAGGGCCCCTGAAAGAGAGTCTCCTGTCCCGCTAGTCTTTTTCTCCTCCATCCTTCTGTCTCCCTCTCCCTTTCTTTTTTGCTCTTTCCCAGAGTGAGTGACAGGGAAGGGTCAAGCAGCCCCCGGTTCCGCAGTCACCTGGAGTGCAGCCAAAGCCTGGGCCTCCAGCCAAATCCAAAACCACTCGCAAAAGATATGAAGCTGCCTTTCAGGTGCCCTTCTCCAAATCCATGTTTCTCTCTGCTTCAGGAATTCCATACTTTATGTTAATGCAGCGGTGTCATTGCTATTCATATGATACTGACTGAAAACCAACCGTCAGCTCGCTGAATAGTGACACGATTGCCTAGAGCCGAACTGAACTTAATTCTTAGTTTCATAATTGCTGAACGTTGCAACTTATGCATCGTCTTTTAGGCGTCAACAAAAAAATGCATCATGAATGTGATGCCAACAGCATTGGACACCCTGTACATTGACCCTGTAGGTCAAAGAAGATATCCATCATAAGTGACTGACTTCCTCTCAGAGACACTGACTTCTCTCCATAGTGATGTGAGAGTTAAAGGGGTCATATGATGCTATTTTAAAAATCATTCATTTGAACAGTCAATAGCAAATACTTAAACTAATAACAAAACATACTTACATACTTACAACATATTTTTTTTAGAAATAGCCTTTGTGCACAGCCAGCTTTGTACTCTTCTAGGTTCAAAAAACTGTCGTCCATAAAATGCGTTGTACAAATTCGAACATCTGGGTTGTGCTGTTCTGTTGTAAATAAATCTTAACCAATGATTCCTAATTGCATCTACTTCCGGAAGGCCAAATAAAGTGCTTTTGCTTTCACACTGAATCACACAGCGTCTCCCTGACATGCTGCATCAACACTAACTGCGTTTCCTGAAACCACGCCTTCTTTCTTTGCGTGCACATTTGAGCGGCATTATGCTAATATTTCCACATAGTGATGTAGACATGTGGGGGCATGTTAGAATGAGCCGTTTTAGGTAGGCGTGTCTGACTCTTAACTTTTATAAAGAATATCTCTTTGGATTTGAGACTTTAGTCTTTGCAACTTTACAGATCTTCTTTATGCACCAAGAGCTTGTAACACTCCAAAGAGAAAGGAAAACTTGAAATCGCATCATATGACCCCTTTAAAGTAAAGCACTGTGAAAAGCCTGGCTTTTGTTGAAAAAAGTTGACTCGAGTGTGATATCATGGAAACTGCAACAATGTGGACTATACCTTTTGGAGTTGAAAGTGAGGTAAGCTTTTCAACTTTCAATGTCTTTCTAATGTTTTATAGCTCATACCAATTTTTTTTTTTTTTTTTTGCAGGCACATGAAAAAAACACCTGTTGTGATGTACTGGAGGTGTTGTTTAGCCTGGGCTGGAATCCAGATATATTTATTCATTTCTGTGGGGAAAATGAAGAGGAATTCACAGTAAGTTATTATTATTATTATTTTATTTTTTTTTGGCCAACCGAAAACACATTTTCCCTACAAATGAATTTCGTCAAATAAATAGCATTTCCGATTATTCTGCTGCTCTGAGGTGATAAACAGAGACTGCACGTGCATGGAGAGTAAAGGGAGGAGATGAGGATGAGGAGGAGGACATTAGATTGGAGCAGGGCGGCGCGTTGTGCTCCTGCGGGATTCTTCTTGCACCCTAGAGAGAGCGAAAGTTCAGAGCAAGAAGCAGAAGGACACTAAATAAAGTCTACTGCGAGTATTAAACACATTCAGCAGAAACATTCGCGCGGACACATCTGTCTCCAGCACGGATGCGCGCGCGTCTGGATGCGCTTAGTTCTGTGGAAATACTTTCTTACTCCAGAATATATGGACGAGACGCAGACGCAAACGCAAAGTGCAAGGTAATCCGCGAGGAAAGCTGTGTGATTTAAAGATGCGCTGGGTTTGTTCCTGCGCGCTGCTGCTGCTGCTGCTGCTGATGGTGCTGCTGGATAATGCCGTGGCCGTGCCTGCGTGGAGGAAACCCACGGTAAGCGCTCGATATCATGTCAACTTCATATGATGAGCTTTGGTTTGTGGTCTAGTCCTCATAAAAGAACTGAAAGTGACATGCACAGGATTTCAGGACCTTGGTAGTTTGGCATCCGACGTGGCTGTACTTCATTGAAACTATTCTAAACGAATTATTTGATCATTTTCATACATGCACAATAGAATATATTTACTTTTTACACTGCTAAAGGGTGATCTCTTGAAAGAAATGGCGACCAAATGCTAACTCCTAAAATATACATTCTTTTAAAAGTATATGTGGGATTTATAAGAAACTGTTTTCACTTAGATATTGCTAGTAATTTTCATTATGATTGTTTAAGTACAAGTAACGCGTTGAAATAAATGTGAAATTTTGAAGTGCAAAGACTGAAATAGTATTCTCTTGTAAAACCTACTCCAAAAATGTACTGTAGGCTGTTTGGCCAAACAACTTTATGTTACTTACTCATTGATCACAATGAGACATTCATTGCTGGTTCACAAGCATTTTTTTTTCTGGAAAGAGTTGTAAAATCTTTGCAAAGATCAAAAGGAGGAGGAAGAGAGAGAGAGAGAGAGGAAGAGTGTTGAAGGTCAAGGGGGAGGGAGCGGGTGCGTTCACATATGGGTGACAGATATTCCAGAGCTTCGCCTGCATGAGTTACTGACTGCAGCTACTGATGTGATGAGCTGGAGAACCAAAACACAGCATCTGAGTGGAATTCATCTGGAATTTCATATCAGGCAGCAGCAGACGTTAGCTCTCCTGATTTAGTTTATTATTTGCTCCTCCAAATGTTTACAAATCTGAGACCAATAAAGAAAAGATTACTTTTAAAAAGAGTTCTTAGTACAAAAAACTAAATAAAATTGCATTTGAATTGCAATTTAAAAAAAAAATGTCATGGTTTAATTTAGCAAATGGCTGCAATATTGTTAAGAGTGAAAATTTTAAGGGGGTCTGAATACTTTCCGTACCCACTGTATGTTTAGTACGGTTATTTGAACTTAGCAGTGTTGTTTGAAACATTTAAGTGGGATCCTGTCAACATTTAATTAAACTGTTACATAAATTGAAACTTATGTATTTAAATATGTTCATTTAGAAATATATTAACTTTAAATATATCAAATAACACACGACAGTTAAAATTATAATCAAGTACTTTACATGTTGTTAGTATGTTAGTCAACACATCAAAATAAGTGTACTTTATAGAACAAAAAAGATTATTAAAACAATGTACTTTACTGTAAAACTTTTAATTTGACATGATTACTTAAGTGTGTTAAAGGGGTGCTATTATGCCTTTTCACTTTTTCAACTTTAGTTAGTCTGTAATGCTGCTGTTTGAGCATAAAAAAGATCTGCAAAGTTACAAAGCTCAAAGTCCACTTCAAAAGGAGATATTTTATTTAACAGAAATCACTTTTCAAAAACTACAACGAACGACTCGTTTGGACTACAACGCATATTTTCCGGGATTTGTGATATCACAAATATCAACGAATGGGACGAGACCTGGTTGAGCTGCACTAAAGAAGACAATGAGGGTTATCACTATGTCGGAGACGCACTAGTTTCCCCAAGGCAGACGAACTTAGAGTGGTTACAATCATCCGGGTTTAAATCGCGCTCAAATTGATTTGATTTTGATGCAATATTTACACTGAAGCTCGCAGGCGGCTATGGTAAGGGGCATGACATTTCCCGACCAGGTGCCGAGTGCTGCCAATCACAGCACACGCTGGCCCAGCTAACCAATCACAGCACACACTGGCCCAGCTAACCAATCACAGCACACACTGGCCCAGCTAACCAATCACAGCACATTTCGTCTTTCAGAAGGCGGCCCTTCATTTGATACCGGAACTATTCGAGCCGTTCATGCCAGACTGGGGAGAGAGGTGTTGTAATAATGTAAAATATGTGAAAAATAATGTGTTTTTCTAACAACCTAGTATGAGAGCCTGTTCTAGTACACCCCCAAAACAAAATCATGACTTTGTAAAAGAGCAAAATAGGACCCCTTTAAGAAAGTCATAAAAGTTTATTCTCTTTACTTACATGTGTGTCCTTTTATTTCATTATTCAGTAGGGTTTTATTTAAATACTTGTAAGATTTGTGTACATTTAGTACAATTAAGTGCACTTCTTTTTCAAAAGGGATAAGCTTGACCATTTGAGTGAAAAGTAAAAAGAATTGAAAAATTATGAATTTCAGAATGTCTTAGCATTTGGAATGTCCCTCTTTTGCTTTAAAGTGCCCATATTATGGGTTATGAAAGGTTCATATTTTGGTTTTGGGAGTCCCCAACCACAGGTTGACGTGCATGCAAGGTCAAAATACACTTTCATTGTCTCATAATATGCATTTATTTTTACCTTACTTGCTCAACGACTCCCAAACGATTTGCTCAATGATTCATTTTTCCAAAGCCCTCCTTTGCGTGACGCTAATCTGCGGTGATTGGTCCGATCGGTCTCATTTTTATTTCATCTCGCCTGTGATGCCTGATAAAGCAGTGTTTGTAAGCTCAGTGCTGCTTTGTGTACAGCGTTACCGGGGAAACTGTTAGTTCTAAACCTGGGTGTTTTTAGGGGCGTGATATTCAAATGACGATTGTTTTCTGGCGCCACATTTATCAACATGCGATCATTCGTACGATGAGATCGGCGGCATACGAATGTTTCATAAATCACACGTGAACTCTGTCGTAAATTGATTTGTGTGCACAGATCTGCGCTCGTTTCTACGTTAGATTGATAAATGAGGCCCAATAACTTTATACACGGTGCACTTTCAGATTTATAACTTTGCAGGATGTTTTCATTCACTTAGAGCTGTGATACACACTGCATGAAAGCTAATTTTCAAAAATACATTATAGGGGCACTTTAATGCCAGCAGGATTGGAGCTGCGTGAACTCCACGGTTTTGTATAAAACTTGACAATAGTGTTCTCCATTATGGTTTGACTTGATCCAAAGTGGAAGCTAGTATATCAGAGTTCACATGACCAGTGTTGCAATTCTGCTTATTTGATTTGTGACTTAGAAACATTTCTTATTAATTTTACCTAGTGTTTCAGAATTCACTGTATATCTTGACATAAGTATGTCAATTTCCTGGTAATCACTATGGACCTTCCTTGATATCATGGTTGCTCAGCACATGGAGATCTAGCTTCCTGCAGAGTTTAGTTTGAACTCAAACACACCTGAACTATGTAATCAAGGTTTCTGCGAACACCTGGGCATTAAGCAGGTTAGGTCTCAAATCTCCAGAGCTCAGCATATGATTAACAGTACTCATGTGGATCAGAGTCATCATTTGCGTTACACTTTTGGCTTGGTGGTTTGCTATATATATCCCTTTTCTATCTTCCTCTTAGGTGGCTAGTATTCAGTTGCATAAACCATGTGTGCAGACACTGGCACCTGTGGACACGAGGTCTCATCGAGGTCTGGCTCGACCCAAGCGCTATGCCATCAACCCACTGGGATACAAGTGGGAGCATTTTAACGTCACCTACAAGTGAGACACAGGATATATAAAAAATATATATGTTGAAGCTTTTCTGTTGATGTGCATGATTGTTGAATGCCTAAAGTATGACCAGACAGATGCATGAGATGATCTGGGGTTCAGATTATGAGGGATATTTTGGGAAGAGCAGATTGATTTCGGGAGTGTTGGGCTTTTGTAAATGTGCATTGTGATTGATAGCAGACACAGAGGCTCTTTGAAAGTGTGTCATTCATTTTTGGCTGGAAGCAATTTACGTTTCTCCCTCTTCAAGGATCACAAAGTTTCCCAACACACTGAATAAAGACGATACCCGCAAAGCTATCAGCATCGCCTTCACGAAATGGAGTGATGTTTCTCCTCTGACTTTCACTGAAATCACCAACCCCAACAAAAGTGCTGACATCACTATAGGTAAATAAATGTGCGGGAAAAGCGCCAAAGCATCAGGCATGTGCACTTTGGCAGTGCTGACGGAGTACTTTATGCAGCTAATTAATCTGCTATTTTTGTATGAAACTCTGTAACTTTTCCTGAGACAGGCTTCTACACGTACAATCACACAGATTGTTGGTGGTCTCCATTGCACCCATGTTTTGATGGACTGAACGGTGAGCTGGCCCACGCCTTCCTTCCCCCACGTGGAGAGATTCACTTTGACAACCACGAATTCTGGATTCTGGGCAAATCCCGCTTCAGCTGGAAACAAGGTACTGCTCTGATACATTTATTTATTAAAATCCCAGACAGCAACATAGTGTTGACCCAGATCCGGCCCACATCTGGTCCGCGTCTATTCCACACGGGCCAGAACACTATGTTGCTGTCTGGGGTGGATGTGCTTGTCAGAATACAAGTATAACATATCTGCTCATTGATTCCAATATTCAAAACTTGGAACTTTTGACAGACTTGTGGTGCTTTAACCAGATTTCAGTGGTATTGTCAGTGCATTGTGGGAATGATAAAAAAAAATGAGTGTAAATATGCAAAAGTGTCGCTGTTTAACTAATTTCCAATTCCTCACTTTTGGCACCTAAGTTTGAATTCTATTCAAAAAGCATGTTTCAGACAAAATTTGTGATTTGTGGAAAATCTATTTCTAGTCAAATGGAAATCGAAAGCACCGGGTGATTTTAGTTTCTAGATCTTTTGTTTTGGTTCAAAATTGATTTGCTAAAAATTTGAACTGATGGTGGCGCTAGAGTGAAGTGTTGTACACTGTAGAGATGAATAGATGTATTTTGTGAGCACAATACAGGAAATACGTCATGTAAGTAGACAGGTGATCAATTGAGACAGACCCACTGATGCCTTTTTTTAGTGAGTTCTCTTTAGTGATAAGAAACTTTTGTTAACTTAATCAACTGAGCCAATTGCTTCTCAAAATAATTCACTGTTTTGAAGTGCTCAAAATGCCACAGGCTGGTCAAAACAACTCTGACAACTCAGTCCAAACACATATAATGACACTTTTACCAACTAACTGCAGATGTTCTAATTGAAGTGTAATCTATTAAATGTAATCTACAAATAAATGAAACCATTAAATATGAAGGTTTTGTCAAATTTGTGTTCTTGCATTAATGTTGTGCTTGTTTTATGTGGGCTTGGCAAAGATTAAGGTCACACTTTATTTTAAGGTCCAGTTCTCACTAATGAATTTGCTGCTTGTTAATAGTTAGTAAGGTAGTTAAGTTTAGGGGTATGATTAAGGGATCTAAATTATGGTCATGCAGAATAAGGCATTAATATGTGTTTAATAAGTACTAATAAACAGCTAAAATGCTAGAAATATGCATACTAGTTGATAGTGAGAATTTGTCCTTAAAGGGGTCATATGATGTTACTAAAAAGAACATTATTTGGTGTAATGAAATGTGTTTATGCGGTTTAACGTTCAAGAAACACATTATTTTCCACATACTGTACATTATTGTTTCTCCTCTATGCCCCGCCTTTCTGAAACGCGTCGATTTTTACAAAGCTCATCAGTCTGAAAAGCGAGGTGTGCTCTGATTGGCCAGCTATCCAGTGCGTTGTGATTGGCCGAATACCTCAAGCGTGTGACGGAAATGTTACGCCCCTTACCATATTGTGATACCGTGTCCCGGCCGGAGCGACGAGACAAAAACATGAAAACCCATTATAAACGAGGCATTCGTTGCATCCAGTGGGGACATAATTACTGATTATACTGACTTATACTGTCTTTTTACGCGTTGCGTTGCATCGCGCTGCGTATACATAAAACCATGTCTGCATTTGTGATCGGAGAAATTACAAACAACAAGCGCTACTCTACACTGCTCAAAATCACGTTTGAATCGTCAGTGTTGTAATACCGCATTCCAGGCAACCCGTAACCCGTGTTTTTCCAACCTTCTACCCGTGAAAGTGCACTGGAACGGCAGTCAAACCCGTGACTTCCCACCCGTGAACTCGTACTAGTTCGATGTACTCCCAGTTCCGCGCTCTTGCATCTCATAGCCCGCGAAACAACAATGGCAGCCCCTTTCTGTCAAGACTGCACCTGTGCACAGAACCTATACAGGGGGTAGTGCAAATTACATACTTGTATAACAAAATAATCTGTTTGTTCTAGAAGTTTGTTTACATCTAGCTACCACAGTTCCACAGCACAGTTTTCACAATGAAACACAGCGTCACACACGGCGGGCTAGAGTGAGCAGAGGCCGGCGGCCTTCCGGCAACCACATGTGACGACCCCGGGCTGGATTCCGCTTCGTCCACGGTGAAAGCCATTCCGGCGATCCACAGCATGAAGTTGATGTATTTCCTCAGCGACCAGCGCGGATCACCTCCAGGCATGACGAAGCGGATATCGTCCTCTTTTGGAAGGCCAAACAAAGTAGTTTCGCTTTCACAACGAAACACACAGCGTCTCCACGACATGGCGGCGGCAACAACAATACTACAGCGAGAATAAAAGTTACGCCTTCTTTCTTTGCGTGAACATTTGGGCGGCGTTATGCAAATCTTCCCACATAGTGACGTAGGCATGTGGGGGCGTGTTAGAATGAGCCGTTTTAGGTAGGCGTGGTTGACTCTTAACTTTTATAAAGAATATCTCTTTGAGTTTGAGACATTAGTCTTTGCAACTTTACAGAACTTTACAGAGCTTGTAACACTCCAAAGATTTTTAATCGCATCATATGACCCCTTTAAAATAAAGTGTTACTAAAATTAAGTATCATTCTTTCTTTTTTTATTTTATTATACACACATAAAAATTTTCATACAGTTTTTTTTTAAACAATATGGCATAATGAAGCTTTGTTTGCTGAAATCATGTGACTTGGGGAGTTTGAGACAAGCTCTGAACCACTGATTCGAAACAAAAGACTTGTAAATGTTGTGACGCTTCAAGAAGCAGTTTTGAGATGAGTGCTCATCACTAGTTCACTTTGAATGTTAAACGTTTAAACTCAAAAATCCCATAGAAGGAACATGAGATCTCAAAGAAATCTCACAATCCTCCATCTATTCTTCTTTCCCTTTCCTCTTTGATTTGATGGTGTGTTGTTGTCTCTGCACAGGTGTGTGGCTGAATGACCTGGTTCAGGTCGCTGCTCATGAAATCGGTCACGCTTTAGGCCTCTGGCATTCACAGGACCCTAATGCGTTAATGCACCCTAATGCAACATACACGGGTCAGAGGAACATCGCTCAAGATGATATCCGGGGCATCCAGCGCCTTTATGGTAAACAAAATACAGGTGTTTAAAGTCACAATGAAACAGAAGTAGTGACAGATCTTTTATTCCATATTGTGACATTCATAAACTGTAGGGCGGGGCTTGGTTCTAAGAGTCAGTTGTTGATTGGATGTTGAGGTGTGGGAGTGGCATTTAAAAGTGGAGGCGGAGTGACCAAAATGATTGGAGAAGACCTGCAGAAGTCTGGCGTTTTCACCCGAAGATTTTGATTGAACATTATGAGATCAAAAATGAAACATGCACGGATGAATCGTTAACAATAAGATCTATAACATGCATTTAGAAAATAGATAGGTTGTTTTTCTATTGTATGAACCTTAAAAAAAAGTGCAAAAATAACTATCTTCTATCATCTGTGTGTGTTTGCTTCAGGATGCATGGACAAGAAGCGAGTGTGTGATCCTTGGGCCCGCTTGGGTTTCTGTGAGAGGAGGCGGAGCTTCATGAAGAAAAACTGCCCACAGCGCTGCGACCTGTGCTACGGTGAGACACTGAAAACATCCTCCTCCAACATCTCCTGCAGCGCTGTCTTCCCCTCCAAAAGCCTTTCGCTGTCACACAGTATTCTTCATTGTGCATGTGGACGGACATCGCCCATTACTTTAAATAGTAGTGATATTATAGACTCACACACTTGTACAGCTGACTCTTTAACATGCATGTTTGCTCCTCAGAGCCTCTGGATGCAGTGTCTACACCGACACCTCCTCCAGAGAATGTGAAGATCAAAATTGTGCCTCGTGGAAAAGTTGTGGGCTTCCGCTGCGGGACAAAAAATACCAGAGTGCCTCCAAAAGTCAGGTAGAGCGTCCTTAACCCTATAAAGCCTACTGTATTATATTTTGATACACACATGTCTAAGGCCTCTAAATTATTAACATGATCAAAACTTTGAATTTACATACTTTTCTGTGATCTGATTGATAGTTTATAATTGTAAAAACGTCCATCTTCAGGTTGTGTTTCACGTGGCTTTTTGTTGTAAAATCTTATAAAATAAAATCTTTATCAAATGAATTTTATAAAGTAAACATAAGAATAACTTTTATATTACTAGTAATATTTCAAGATGAACACTTACTGGACTGAAGTAACTTAGATTTACTTGTTTATCCATACATAATCTTTTTTGAAAAATCATGTTAAACTGTAAGTATCAAATATGATCATCAGGCTTTTGAGGAATGTTTATTTGTACATCTCTCAATCATTATTGTATTGCATCGCATTATATGATTTGCCCATAATAAAAACTACAGAGCTTCGATCATAAAACTAAGCATTTAAAATATCATCTTACTGAGAGATATAGAGTGACAACTGATATTTGTATCATTTTATTTAAATAGTCTGCTATACTGTTATAAAGATGTCATTGATTTACATTACAAGCTATCAGAATTTAATCTTTCTTTTTGACTATATAAATATCAGCATCTGCACCAAATTGCATATTTTTGCTCAGTTCTGTCAGGACCACTATCGTCAAAATGATAGATACTTAGCATAAAGTTTGGTTTGGCGGTATGGTTCTGTTCTGGGCAAAAAACCTCCCTGCCCATCCATGCAGCCTGTCATGAATGAGCAGGGAGAACAGCAAAAATAACCCCCCCCAGGGTTAACAGAACAGAACAAGGCAGATATCATTAATGTACTCAATGATATTTAAGTGTAACACTTTATTCAAGATAAAGGAGTCTGATTAGCAAGGAATATCAGAAAGCTAAGTCCTGACTGTGGCGAAAGGTGGAGCTGGGGATGGAGGAGGGTAATTTCCTCTGAAGCAAGCTGAAAAGCTGCTGAATAATACTGAATACAGCTTATATAGGAATGCCGCGATAGGTGTCGTATCCCTATAGGTAGATGTGATCAGCTGAGAATCAGCTGATGCAAGCTTGACTCACGTGACCTGCCAGAACTAACGCTAAAGCTTAATTTTTGGTCTCTGAATAAAACTGAGGTGTTTTTTCCTCCTTGAGTATGAGCTCCATACTATATGAGCCATAAAAGCCTGATATATCAAATATGATACTCAACAAAAAAAACACACGTGCAGTTATGGAATGCATCATTTTTGAAGCTTCGTTTCTGTCCAGTTAATCTCAGCTGCTTTGTTTCATCTTTCATCAGCTGGTATAAGGACGGTGAGCAGTTGCTGACATTTTGTACGTCTGCTACAAAGACAACTAAGGTGCTTTTTTTTTTTGCCACTTCTGAGGCATAACATTTATTTCTTAATTTTGTTTGCAAAGGTACAGTTTCATACTCAGCGGTGCATGTGAATTCCACCGTTTTTCGGTAGCCTTGATTTTAGTGTTTTAAAGGGCCGTTCACACCATGGACTATAACAATAACTATAAAGTGTTAATAATCATTCTAATAGTTTGAGAATAGGGAAGTCCACCCCACAACTATAACAATTACAACAGAAGTAAAAATTCAAGCAAGTTTGTTTGTTTAGTGCTTTTTAAAAATGCTAAATAGCTTTACAGAAATTGTGATGTTAAAGGGATAGTTCACCCAAAAATGAAAATCCTGTCATTACTCACCCTCATGTCGTTCTAAACCCGTTCAGACCTTCGCTCAACTTCGGAACACAAATTAAGATATTTTTGATGAAGAGCTTTCTGACCCTGCATAGACAGCAACACAACTGAAACTGAAACACATGTGTCGTGGTACTCTCGTGAACGTGTGGCGGAGACTGACATGGAAGAGTAGAAATAGTTGAATAATGTTATTTTTGTTTTCTTTGCACACACACAAAAAAGTATTCTCGTAGCTTCATTACATCCCGGTTGAACCCCTGATGTCACATGGACTATTTTAATGATGTCCTACTACCTTTCTTAAACGTGGTAGTTCTGTTGCCGTCTATGCAGGGTCAGAAATCTCATGGATTTCATCAAAAATATCTTAATTTGTGTTTCGAAGACGAACGAAGGTACATGTTTGGAATGACATTAAGGGGTGAGTATGTGAGAACTATCCCTTTAATGTTTATGCCATCTTAATATCTTCAGGCCTTATAGTTGCATTTAGCAGATTACAGCTAGGAGATAATATAGTGACATTTTGCGATGAAATAAAAATATCAAGCAGTTGATACGTAAAAAAATATCAAGCAGTTGAGATTTGCTGTGAGTATTTTTGTGGATAAAGTTGGATATGACAATTTATAACTTTATACACAGGAACAATATCATTGGAATAATTTTCAGATTTTTTTCCCCCAGCTGATGAATGATTAAAAAACATTGACAGCCAGTCTGAATCCAACCACTCACGGCTCAATCATTTAAAGTGGCAGACGCGCTTATAAACAGAACGTTAGAACGTCTGAACTAATATAGTTATCATTCTTGGTGTGAATGGGCCTTAAGCTTTTTAACTGTAAAACTGTTTTAGTTTAAATTAGTTTAGACAAAATTAAGCCCTTGTTGAAGTTTACTGACGGACTCAAATGGATTGAAGTCCCCAAGTTGAGAACCACTTAGAGGCAGGTGTGGATCTGTGACTCAGACATGAAAATGAGTTTATGACACTTTTCCTTTCTCTGTCATTGAATCCGTTTCTTACTCTTAGAGTTCTTACATGTATCATGACATTTTGTCAATTATGGTGGGAAATATGGTCTTGTTTACATGTGCTGGTCCTTTAGGACACACAGGGCTACTAAATGATCTACACTCCTAAAAATAAAGGTCCTTTATTGGCATCTACGGTTCCATGAAGAACCTTTAACATCCAATGAACCTTTCCATTAAACAATAGGTTCTTCACGGTGGAAAAAGGTTCTTTAGATTATTCAACTGTTCTTCACACTAAGAAAAAATTGTTATTTTAAGAAATTATCACTGAAAGCCGTTGGGAACCAAAAGTGGTTCTTTATGACATCACTGTGAAACCCCTTTTGGAACCTTTATTTTTAAGAATGCAGATGCTAGAACTAGTAATAGAATTTGGAAAGTGGAAATGTAACCTGAAAAATCTTATTTTTTCTAAAATCTTATGTTATTGGACATTAAAGGTGCTGTAGTACATAGTGCTTTTTGATCCCCATGAATAAGTAACAAGCCACGAGACAATACAAAAAAAAAAATTTCTTTCAAGAGCTTTCACAGTCCTTTTGATTCTCAAAGATCTAAAACAAATCAAATCAATGTTCCTGACCACAAGAATGTCAAAGTTGTCTTTTGGTCCGCTGGCAAACACATAATTCTAAGATCATCTTCTTGTCCAATGTGAACATGTAAACCAACAGGTCCTGGTAGTCTTTCGTGTTAACACTGTCCCTCAGCAGGCTTGGGTAATGTAAACATTCAAGCAAAGCAAAGCCTTTCCAAAAAGACTGGGACCCGTGCCACAGACTAGCACAGGGTTTAAATGTGGGTGCCAGACGCCGTCACTGCCAGGCCCCGAAATTATTACTTCACATCAGAGTCTGAGAGAGAGAGAGTCCATATGAGGAAAAACACCTAATGAACTTTAGCAGAAACATAAAAAGGTCAGAAAGACACACGAATGTTCAAAAAGAATGATTGAAAGTAAAAACATAAGCTGAGATGAAATACAGTAACCAGCATAAAATGAGAAGAAACATTCTAGAACTATACAAAGACGATTTCTGTCCCGGGAGCCCTCCCCCATCTTGGAATTAGTCTCAAATTTGGGCCCCTGTTCAAGTATGAAAAGATCTGGACAATGAAGGCAGGTGAGGGTGAGTTTTATGCACAATTGAGAATGAGATTACGTGCAAGCAGACGCGGTGTTGTGAAACAAAAAAATGAGAAGCGCTAAAAATGCATAATTATGCAAGTTCCAGGCCGATTACGATCCAAGGAAAAGAACAACAATATGAGCTTTTTGGTTTAGTGGTGTGTGGCAAATCTCTCTGAAGCGAGAGGGAGACGTGGGATCAAAACCTTTAGAAAGTACGGGTGGAATAATTTGGTCACTATTGTGCATTTCAACATTTTTCATATTCAAATAAATCTTGAGCTAGTCCATCCTTCATTTATATTCTTGGCAACTCAAAATGGCTTAAAGAAAGCGTAGACAACATGAAGAGCTGGTTGTGAGCTTGGTTGCTAGAACGGATGTCGAGCTACTCGTCCTCATCTTTGCCTGTGCAGTGTGCGCTGCTGTGATGAGGAGGAGGAAGAGAAAAGAATGGTGAGGAGGTGAAGAAGGGAAGACGGAAGGTGGGGGACGGCGAGCGCTCCTCGCGGACGGGACTGCTGCTGGGGCTCTGTCTGGGACTGATGGCCTGTAACATCCGTCCTTTTCCCTCTTTCAACATGTGCTTCTGTTAGACACATAATACATATATATATTAGTGATTATTAGAGATATTAGTGAATTCATCTGGAGACAAGCATGTATTTTAAAGGGGTCATATGATGCGATTTCATGTTTTCCTTTGTCTTTTGAGTGTTAAAAGCTGTTTGTGCATACAGAAGATCCCTAAAGTCGCAAAGATTAAAGTCTCAAATCCAAAGAGATAATCTTTATAAAAGTTAAGAGTCAACCACGCCTACCTAAAACGGCTTGTTCTAACACGCCCCCACATACCTACATCACTATGTGGGAAGATTTGCATAACGCCGCTCAAATGTTCACGCAAAGAAAGAAGGCGTAACTTTTATTCTCGCTGTAGTATTGTTGTTGCCGCCGCCGCCGCCATGTCGTGAAGACGATGTGTGTTTCGTTGCAAAAGCCAAACTACTTTTGCAGACACAAAAGAGGACACGACTAGAAATCAGTGGTTACGTTTTATTTACAACACTGCTCCAGAACAGTCCAACCCAAATATTCAGATGTGAGCAACGCATTTTACGGAGGAAAGTTTCCTGAACCTCGTAACATTTCCGTCACACGCTTGAGGTATTCGGCCAATCATAACGCACTGGATAGCTGGCCAATCAGAGCACACCGCGCTTTTCAGACAAATGAGCTTTGTAAAAACAATAATGTACAGTATGTGGAAAATGTTTTTTGAACCTT